AAAATGTTCTGGTGCTTTGTGCCCATTGTTAAAATCATATATACACTTTGGGTGATTAAAAGCAAGTCTAAAAGTATAGTTAGAACATTTCACCAAGGAATTAAGTAGTCCATTTGTATCATTACTTACCTTTAAATACTTGAGTGGCCCAGCGCCCTTGGATCTCTGAAATAGGCATAATGGCTCCCAAGGGCTGAATTAAGCCAATGATTGCAAGAGTTGGCTTTTCCAGGTTAGGGGGAAAGACCTTTTTATAGAGGGACACCTTGTTTTTGACCACTTTGACAGAATCATCAAGAAAAGGAAAGGCAAAGCTATAGCCGGTGGCAAAGATGACTGCATCAATGTCCTCCTCTTTGGAGCCATCTTCAAATATGGCAGCTGTTTCTGTGAATGCCTTCACATTTCCTTTCACCTTCACCATGCCAGAAATTATGCGATTTGGCAGTTCATCATTTATTGTAGGAGGCTGACTCAGAGCTCTGTGTGGTAATAAAGATGAAGAGGAAAAATGAGAGTTGAGGTGAGAGAGGGGAAAAAATGGGTACCATGTGAGTTAAATTCTGCTTTAGTGTAGGTGGATAAACAGTATGTGAGGGGCTTCCTGCTCAGTCTATCCTTAAGACTTAGTAAAGGTCTACCTGGGACCAGCTTGGCATAGATCATGATCTCAAGGCAGGTTTTATAGATGAAGAAATGGGCCTGGAGAAGCAGAGTGACTTCCCTAATGTTATACAGCCTAGGATCTTAGAATTTCAGTCAAAGTAGTTTTCTCTGACCTTCCTTGAGATTCGTTGGGATTGTTAAGTAGTGTTTACTAGGGACTGTCTAGGGTAAAGGTGCCAATTGAATTGTTGAATAAATAGAGAAGTGGGCCTCCAGTTTGAGTCTTAAAGACCTGGTTTGCGTCATTTAATTTTCACTGACCCTAACCTTTAGGTAGATTCTGTTCTGCAGTCTGTTGTGACCCTCTGAGGGTCTAGGGCTCAGGTCCCTGTTTGGGCGCCACATGTTGCGACCCCCTAAAATGGTCTGGGACCTGAGTCTAGAAGTGGTGAAAATCAGGACAGAGGGGACGCAAAGTGTCTGAAGCCAATGCATGCATTATTCTTAGGAGCTTCTACTTTTGGAAAACATGACATTCAACACAAGCCAACATATTCCATCATAATATTTACAGTACCTTCTTGTTCTTTGATCACATCCTGGAATATTTTCTCAGCCTCTGCTTGGTAGAAACAACACATTCTGTTCCCTTTATGTTTTCCAACTCTATTAATTATACAAGCCGCTTACGTGACTTAAGCAAGGGTGAAAGAACAGTCAGTCTCATGACCAGAATAACTCCAGGCCAAGAACTCTCAGGCCCTCAGGGAGGAAGTGTTCTTCCTCTTTACTCTCAGCATGCCAAGAATAGCTGAGGCCCCTTGCTCCAGCCTTGGATCAACTCTTAACTCAGAGATCAAACCTTCACAGCACTCCAACTTCATTCCTTTCAAAATCTGTTCTTTTATCTCTAAACCAACACCACCATCTACATAATTGCCCAAGCCACAAAACTATTAGTCCTATATCTGCCTCTATCTTTTATCTACTCCCTGCCTCACCTGAACTGTTAGAGTTGTATGTATGTCACCATCTCATCCCCTTTCCATACCATCTTCAGGATGGTCATTCTAAAATATACTCATTACCGTACTAGTCACTTCTTTAAAATATATGAATGGCTTTACACTGTCTTCATTCTAAACTTTATTTAGCACACTGTGGTTCTTTGAATGAGAATGTTCCCTATAGCCTCCAAGTATTTGGCTAATTTGTCCCTAGTTCATGATCCTGTTTGGGGAGGGTTATGGAACCTTTAGGAAGTGTAGCAACACAAAAGTAACTAATACAGAAGTTGGTGCCAGAGAGTGGGCTGTTGCTGTGAAGAACATGACCATGTGGGGTTTTGGAGGAATGTGGAAGACTTGTTAGTTTGGACTAGAAAAGCAGTTGGATCCTGTCAGCAGAGCTTAATGGGCTATTCTAGTAGGAGCCTAGAAGAAAGGAGTGCTGAGAACAAAGTAGTTCGAGAGGGAAATAAGTACTTAAGCAGAAAATGGGATATTTTGAAAAAGAGCTGTCTACTGTCTGCCCACACCCTAAGAATTTGTCTTAGGCTAGGCTGAAAAAGTAATAGACTAATTTCTTTTGTGAAGAAATTT